AACAAGAGCCAGAGGCTGTTGCCATAGAAGGGAAAATGTGCGTGGTGTGTGGGGACAACAGAGACCCACTGCCTTTGGGAAGATGTCTCACTTCCTGGTGCCTTAGTTTCCTCATCTGTGAGATGGGGGTAACAGCTGTGCCTCTTCTTGTGAGAACTGAGTAGGGTCCTATCTGTGGGAGACTTCGATCAGCGCTCAGAACATATTGGTTGTCATACTGCCCAGAGAGGGAAGGGCGTGAGAGGACACCACACAATAGAAATTCCATAAACTCCCAAAGCTTGTGGGCCAAGCAGCTTTGGACTTGTTCCCCAGGCCCTGAATGTCAGGGCTGAGGGCAGGGGGACATAGAAGGTGACTAAGCTGTGGAGGTGTCCTGTGAAGGGAAGCCTCGGTTAGGGGAGTCTGGGGGTGCACTTTCTCTATTGAGATGCCTTGGGCCAGTTTCCCCGGAGCGCAGGGCCTGGGCCAGCGCTGGTGACTGTTTCCTGGGGCTGCATTTCATTTCCCGCAGGTGGGCTGATGGACAGAATCAGGGGTTCAGCCAGCTTGAGTTCTGAATCTGAAGCTCCCTGGAGTAGGAGGCAGAGCCCCTGAAAGGAAGGCCAGGAGAGCTGCCCTCCCTGGGCCAGGGGTAGAGTGAACGGCAGACCCAATGAGTCGCCCCTCCTTAAGCCTTATAATGGTCTCCCGCATTTGCTGTTTCCCCCCAGAAACCCCAAACCGAGGGGGCCTCACTGCTTTGTCTCCAGGAGTTTGGACAGAGGAGATATCCGGGTCCCAGCCAGAGAGGGAGACGCAGGGGGTCCCCAACGCTTTTATCGTCGCTGCTGTGACAGTTGTGGTCAGGGCCACCGTTGGGCTGGGTAGGAGCAGCGACCGAGGCCCTGTGGGGTCTGGGGGCGGGACGGCCTGCGTTGGCTGCATTCTGCAGCAGTGAAAGTTCATGTGCACAATCCTGTTTCCTCTTTTCATGCCCCCTGGCTTCCTCGCTCTGTCTCTACCCTCTTAGGGACAGCCTTCTGGCTTTGAGCAGGAAGCTGCTCTCTTCAGAGTAAATGCCTGCCTTTGCTAAGCATTTCTCTGACCTCTCCTTCCGGAGTCCCGTGTCCTTAGATGTCCCCAGTTCCCTCTTGTTCACTTCTTAACTTCAGCTTTTCTATGGGCAGTGCTGGTGGGAGCAGTGGCGATTATTATTCGTTATTAGCATCTGCTATTTATAGTTAAATGAACTGCCCAGGTTCACATGAGGTCAGGGGCTAAATTTTAATTCACACCCACTTGACCAGAAAGCCAGGGATCAGTGCTACGTTGTACTTGGATGGATTGTTATTTTTTAAAAAGTAAAGTAGGAAAGAATGCCTGAGAGGAAAGGCATGGCTTGGGCCACTTGTTTACTTACTAACCTCTGGGAACCTGCTGGGTAGGAGGATAGTAGTCAGAGGTAAACACAGTATGGTCCTGGCACTGAGGTACTTGCATGGTCTTTGCAGGAGGTATTGACAGACATGTAAGGAAACCATTGCAGAGGTCAGGAGGAAGGGGACTGAGGGGTCTGATGGTTTGGGAAGTGAGGAGGAAGGCTCCTTAAAGGAGGTACCTGAGTTGGGTTTTTAAGGATGAACAGGAGTTTGTTATGATGGAAAGACATTGCAGGGAGAGCATCTAGCAATAGATAGGCCAAAGAACCATTCATTTGACTAGCAGCTGGGGAATGCCTTGAAGGTAGGGACCATGGCCTTCCTGAGTCTGAAGTACCTTGAGCAATGCCTGACACATGCTTGGGAAATGCTTATTTGAGTGAATGCTTCAGTTGCCACATTGGGGAACAGGGCAGGAGAAATTGTAGAAGGAACAGATGGAGCTCGAATGTGGAAGGCCTCATGAACCATAGCAAGGATCAGCTCTCAGAGGTAATCAGGAGCCATTGGAGGGTGTTTCCCAGAGGAGAAAGGGCCATCAGATCTGTCCCTTATATATATATATTTAAAAATATATCTATTGATTTCAGAGAGAGGAAAGGAGAGGGAGAGAGAGAGATAGAAACATCAGTGATGAGAGAGTCATTGATTGAGCCCACAACCCAGGCATGTGCCCTGACTGGGAATCGAACCCCGATCGCCTGGATCTTAGGTCGACACTCAATTGCTGAGCCACGCCCGGCCAGGCTGTCTCATATATTAACACATGTATTAAAGTCTATGAATTGTCCTCTCAGAGGGAGAACCTGAGTGCTTTTATTTATTTATTTTTTTAAATTTGTTTTTCAGGTTCACTGCTAAAAAGTGACTTTACAAATATGCTTGTTCATGTGTAATGTGAGGCACTTACCAGTTATTTATTCACGGCTGCATTGTTTGTAAAAGCAACCCAATGCCTAGTCAGCAGGAGACAAATTAAGTCAAGTTAGGTCTATCAGGTCTATCATACAATAAAATATGAAGCAGCCAGCACAGAGGAGGAGGAAACTGTTCATGTGCAGGGCAGGATAATCTTTAAGACCTATTATTAAGAGAAAAAAAGCAAGATACAGAACAGTATATGGAGTATGCTTCTTTCCATTTGCTAACAAAAAATATATATTTATTTTTGTTATGTATGCATAAGGTATTTTCTGCAAGGATACATAAGAAACCAATAATGGTTGCCTCTGGAGAGAGGAATTGAGGGATTAGGGACCAGGATGGGAAGATGGCTTGTCACTTGTATCCTTTGTTAAAAATAAAATAAAAGTAAGCTATCAAGAATAAAGTGGATCTATGTTACTGGTAAACATCAGTTTCTGATATTAGCTAAGTAAAAAAAATAAGGTAAAGAACGGGTTTGTATTATGGTACCTTTTGGAGAGACAAAACAGATACACTGTATTTGGAAGATAATCTAGAATGCACATGATTTTAGCAACGGTAGTTTTGCCTGTGGGGTGGGATGGGGGGCTGTGAGTTCAGGGAAGAATTATTTTTCACAGTATACCATTTTGTGTAGTTTGAACAAATTTGGCACATAAATGTATTAACTATTAGAAATAAATACGGAGAGAGAGAGATATGGATGGGGGTGTGGGTGGGTAGATGGATAGATGGTTGAATGCATCAGTAGAGAGGGTGGCTGAGCAGATAAGACAGGTAGATGCATGGATAACTTGGTGCATGGATGGGTTGGTGGGTGGATGGATGGATGGATGGATGGATGGACTAGTGGATGGATGGTTGGATGAATAATAGATGGATAGATAGAAGGATGAATGGGTTTACGAATGGGTGGGTAGATATATCTGTAAATGCATGTGTGGATATATGGGTAGATAAGATAACTTTAGCTATAGTAGGGAGGACCTAGTGGGGGCAAGGAGGGGCTGGGAACAGGTAAAGTTTAGGAAGCTAGTTGTAATAGTCCAGGCAAGGAATAATTGGGGCAGGGATTAGCTACTGAAATGTCTCGCACATGAACCGAGCTTCTTGTATAGGTAACTATATGTTAAGCCCCAGCATTGTTTTCTTATTAGAAGGGCAAATTCCTTTGGAATGAACTTTTACCAGCAATTGCTCAGAAACTGTTCTGTGTATAATAACCACCAACAGTTGGATCCCTTTTTTCATCATCACCTTAAGAATTCCAAGTTGTGTGAAACCAGTTAAAATAATCAGTCTTTGATTTAGGTCACTTGTATGATCAGACTTCAGATGCCCAAGTTCATAGAGGCATGACCTTTGTCCTAAGGGTTTCTTTGTGTTTAGTAGTTTCCTAGGTAAATACCTTTGTGTGTGTTAATCATTTAAAGTTTACATTTCATTGACTTCTTGTTATTGGTTCTGGAAAAATAACCATTTATATCATAGAATTGTTTATCAATTATACCTCTGAAGAACCTGTTTAGGTACTTGTTTAATACCTAGATCTCTTTTTTTTTAAAGTCAGATTCTTTATTTTTTAATCATCGTTACCATTTTTAAGTGTATGCTTCAGTTGTGTTAAGTATACTCACATTGTTGTGTATAACTAGGTCTTTTTTGAAATGCTTGGAACATAATGTTTTGATCATATTGTCATATGATTTATGTGAAATGATCTACTTGCTTCCATCACTTTCTCTTAACATTAGTTGATGTGCCTTTAAAGCTTGTACAGGGCTGTGATATTCCAGGTTCCTTAAGTCCTCTGTGGTCTCATTTATCTCACCATGGGAAGGCTTGGAATCAGATATCTGGAGAGAGCATCTTCCAGTGGTGGACAGAGGGACTGTGGCCAACTGGAACACATGGACCTTTTCCCAAGACTGGCTACTCCCCAGGTCTTGCTGATGGTTGTGAAGCAGGAATATTGGGCTCAGTGCTGTCAGTTTTTCTGATTTTTTTAAGAGAAGCCAGAAATCCAAAATTTTATATGAAACTTCCTGATTTGAAATGTTGGCAGCTAATCTAAAATTTTTTTTTAAAAGCATGCTTAAAACAATAATAACAGTAAACCTTCTGTGGGCCAAATTGGCCGGAGGGCCATATCTGATGTAATCAAAGTAGAAATAGGAAATTGAGACCCCAAGATAGGGTAATAAGTTTTTCCAATGTTGTGTAACTGGTCAGTGGTCAGATCAGGACTTGAATTAAATTCTTCATTACTGAAGTCTAACAGCAGGTTGAAGTTTATTCTTGGACAGATATACTTGATCTATATATGTATTTATCTATTTATTTGTGATGTTTCTTTAACAAAATGCAGGTGGTTTCTTACAAAATAAAAGTATTTACACCAAATTTGTTATCAAGGGTGGATAGCATAGTTGTTAAATGAAGGGACTCCAGAACCAAATTGCCTTAGTTTGAATTCCACTCCAGATCTTACCAGCTATGTGATACTGGACAAGTAATTGAACCTCTCTGTGCCTCAGTTTTCCTATCCGAGAAAGGAGGGATAAAGTACTTATAGAATTATAGGGGACAATACATATAGAGTACTTACAATAGGGCCTAGCACATGGAACTGTAATTTTGGCATTATTCATGATGATGATGATGATGATGATGGTGTTGATGGTGCTGATGAAAGTGATTGTGATAGTAATGATGGTGGTGATGAAGATGATGATGATGGTGATGAAGAGATTAGAAAGTCCGAAATTCACAAGATAATAAAGTAGGAATGATTTGTATGACTAAAGGACTCTTCAGTTTACAGGAAAATACCCACAAGGATCCTTTAAATGGGCATCTCCATCTTATGTACAACAATGGAATTTGTCACAGTTCCCAGGAACCTGTTTGTAATGTGCCGTGAGGCATATCTTTATTCCTGATTCCTTGTTTCATAGTCTTTCTGGCTATTGAACTCTCCAGTTTGCATATTCTGCCTGAGAGGGCCTCAGGTGCAGGGGTCTTGTCTGTTTTCTTGAACCCCATGGCAGCTATTTTAACTCCACTGGGGGCCCCTGTCCCTCTTTGGCACATCCCATTGACCCTGTGCCTGTGTTTGTTTCCACAGGAGTGGAATGTCACATGGTACACCAGCAATCCTGACTTCACCAAGTGCTTTCAGAACACCATCCTCGTGTGGGTGCCTTGCTTTTACCTCTGGGTCATCTTTCCCTTCTACTACTTCTATCTCTCCCACCATGATCGGGGCTACATTCAGATGACACATCTCAACAAAGCCAAAACTGTAAGTCATGGGGAGGGGGTGATCCTGGGTGGGGAGTGGAGGCTAGTGAAAACTGACATGTTTCTTCTACTTCATTGGCCCAGAATTCCATTTTCTAGGAGACTGAACAATGATGTGGTAGATAAGGCTGGGAACCTGCATTCAGACATGGGTTCGCATATCGTCTCTGTACCTTACTGGTTGTAGGACCTTTAGCACATTTCTTAATCTCCCTGAGCTTTAGTTTCCCATCTGTACAATGGGAATGATAGAATCTATCTCAAATGATTGTCAGAGATAATCAGGAGTTCTTCTTAGATCAAGGATATCCTTTTACTTAAAAAAAAGTTTTTGGTTTCTGACCAAGGTGGCAGAGTAGGTACAAGATAGCAGAGTAGGTACAAGATGGTGGAGTAGGTAAATGCAGTATTGCTAACCTCCCACAACCACATCAAAATTACAACTAAACTACAGAATAACCATCATTCAGAACCACCTGAAGCCTAGCTGAATGGAAGTCCTATAAGTAAGGATATACAGAAGAAGCCATGTTCAGACTGGTAGGAGGGGTGGAGACACAGAATGTTCTGGTCCCACACCCACATGTGGCAGTTAAAAATCAGGAGGTATATCTTGGCTGCAGAGGTTCCCCCTAAGGAATGAGGGGCCCCAGCCCCACACCAGGCCCTCCAGCCCAGGGTTCCAGTGACAGGAAGAGAAGTCCCCATAACTTCCGGCTGTAAAAACCAGTGGACATTGTGGCTGAGTGAGACAGAGGCCTCCTGAAGTCCCAGGTGTTCCTCTCAAAGGTCCCATGCACAGACTTACTCACTCTCACTCTGAGCTCTAGTGCTGGGACAGCAACTCAAAAGGTGCCAGCAACGTGTAGTAGGGAACTGAATTTTCTGTCTTTAGGACGAGGGCTAGAGGGGCAGCATTCTCCCAGACAGAAGTACTGGCAGAGGACATTGTTCCTTTGCTGAGCCCTCCCTTGCACTGAGCCGGCAGGTGGGCACCATATCTGAGTCTCTAGCACCCTGGCTAACACTGTTCGCCCCGTCCTGGTGATTCCCTGAGACCCTGCCCCACTCAACTTGCAGGCCCACCCAAGTTGCTTCCAGTACCTTTTTAATACAAATGGCCTGTCTTGGCTCATGCTGCAAATTTTGCTAAATTCCCTCAAAGGTTCACAAACCCCAAACAAGCAGTATTTGGCCTCGTGGTACCTCTTGCTAAGTGGCCCCAGGCCTGGCACTAATGGCAGTTGGACTCAGTTTGCAGCTTGGCCTCTCCCTGGCACCTCCAAATCCAGCACAAGTAGCAGTCATCTGCTGATTCCTTTGTAGCTCATGCTGGGTAGCTCTGGATAGGGCACAGGTGGCGTCTGACCTTTGAGCCCCTCCTGGGAGTTCCCAGAGCCAGAGTATACAGAGGCCAGCTTCAGACCATGCCAGAGCACTACCCAACCACCTCCATGAGTTACACACTCAAGGGGTCGACTCGGGCACCAGAGCCCCGCTAAAGCAAGTTCTGCTCTGTGGGGTTGGCCCTTGCACAGCAGCAGCTCCTCGGCTGTAGTCATGGCTGCTTCTTGCAGCTGATTGGCCTGGCGGTCAGTCCCTTCTGTTGATATGCCTACAGCAATCAAGGCTCAACTATAACAGGAGGGTGCACACAGCCCACAGGGGGGTGCACCTGGAATATCTGGCTCGGGTGCCCAGGGTGGCAGTGCCTCTGGGCCCTACAGGACACCTACTACATAATGCCACTCTTCCAAGGCTGGGAGACATAATAACTCTACCTAATGCATAGAAACAAACACAGGAGGCAGCCAAAATGGGGAGACAAAAAAACATGTCCCAACTGAAACAACAGGAGAAATCTTAAGAAAAAAGAACTAAAGGAAATGGAGGCAAACAATCTGCTAGATACAGAGTTATAAAGATGCTCAAGGAACTTAATGAGAACCTCAACAGCATTAAAAAGGACATAGAAACCATGAAAAAGAGCCAGTCAGAAATGAAGAATACAGTAACTGAAAAGAATACACTAGAAGGAGTCAACAGCAGATTAGATGAAGCAGAGGATCAAACCAGTCATTTATAAGAGAAGGTAGCAGAAAACATCCAATCAGAACAGCAAACAGAAAAAAGAATTCTAAAAAAAATGAGGATAGTTTAAGGACCTCTGGGACAACGTCTTGCTGGAGATGAAGACAGAGAGCAAGGGATCGAGAACCTATTTGAATAAAAATGACTGAAAACTCTTCCCTAAACCTGGTGAAGGAAAAGGGCATACAAGTCCAGGAAGTGAAGAGAGTCCCCCAAAGAGGTCACACACCAAGACACATCATAATTAAAATGGTAAAGGTTAAGGACAAAGAATCTTAAAAGTAGTAAGAGAAAAGCAGTTAGTTACCTACAAGGAAGCTCCCATAAGACTGTTAGCTACTTTCTCAACAGAGACTTGGCAAGCCAGAGGATTGGCACAAAATATTTGAAGTGATGAAAAGCAAGGACCTAAAACCAAGATTATTCTACCTAGCAAAGCTATCATTTAGAATAAAAGGACAGATAAAAGCTCTCAGACAAAAAGCTAATGGAGTTCATCACCACCAAACCAGTATTACAAGAAATGTTAAAGGATCTTCTTTAAGAAGAAGGGGGGGAGGGAGGAATATATATATATGAATAATAAAATGGCAATAAATACATATCTATCAATAATTATTTTAAATGCAAATAGATTAAATGCTTCAATCAAAAGCATTTTGGAGGCTGAATGGATTACAAAGCAAGACCCTTACATATACTGTCTACAAGAGACTCCAAATCAAAAGTAAAGGATGGGAAAAGGCATTTCATGAAAATAGAAATGAAAAAAACAAAAAAACCTGAAGTAGCAATACTTGTACCAGACAAAATAGAATTTAAAACAAAGGCTATAACAAGAGACGAAGAAGAGCCCCAGCAATTTCACTTTTGGGTAGTTATCCAAAGAAACCCAAAACACTAAATCAAAAAGACATTTACGTTCATATGTTCATTGCAGCATTATTTATAATAGCCAAGATATGGGAGCAATCTAAATGTCCATCAGTAGACAAATGGATAAAGAAGAGTGGTACATATGTACAATGGAATATGACCCAGCCATAAAAGAGAATGAGATCTTGCCATCTGCAACAGTATGGACTGACCTAGAGGGTACTGTGCTGAGTGAAATAAGTCAGAGAAAGACTTATTTGTGGGATCTAAACAACAGACAAAAGCAGAATAGAAACAGACTCATAGATACAGAGAACATTTTGACCTTTCCCAGATGGGAGGGGTGTTGGGGGTTGGGTAAATAAGGTGAAGGGATTTAGAAGTACAAATTGGTAGTTACAGAGTAGTTAATGGGATGTAAAATACAGCACAGGGAATATAGCCAATATTATTGTAATAACTATGTATGGTGTCAGATGGGTACTAGATTTACTGGGGTGATTACTTCGTAAGTGATAGAAATGTCTAATCACTGGGTTGTGCACTTGAAACTAATATAATATTGTATATCCACTGTGGTTTTAAAAAATAAAGTAAGGCAAAAAAGAAAAGTTTTTATCCTGAAATAATTTCAAACTACAGAAAAGTTGCAAGAATGATACCAAGAACTCCTCCTAACACCGTCTACCCATTTCTCATAGTCACCGAATTTTAACATTTTGTCATGCTTGTTTTATCATTTGCTTTTGCTCTCACCATATACACACATTCTTTGTTTTTCTGAATCATTTGAGAATAGGTAGCAGCCACCGTGCCCCTTTACCCCTTAATTCTTCAGTGTATCTTTTCTTGAAGCATGTATATTGTCTTTTGTAACCACAGTATAATGATTAAATTCAGGAAATTTAACATGGCCACTTTTTTTTTTTTTAAATAAAATCTGTCTATATTTCAGTTTTGCTAGTTGTCCTAATACTGTTCTTTTGAGCATTTTTCTCCCCACTTCAGAATCCAGTCCAGGGTCATGTGTTGCATTGAATCGTGTTGTCTCTAGTTTTCTTTAATCTGGAAGATCTCATCTCCTTTCTCAGTGTTTTATGACATTGACATAGTTGAAGAATGTGGGCCATTTGTTTTAGAGTGAGCCCTCAACTCGGGCTTGTATAATGTTTCCTCATGATTATGTTCAGGTGATGCCTGTCTAGCTGGAAAACTACTAGAGGGACATCATGTCCTCAGACTGTTACACCTGGGGCTCCGTGGTAACCAGCTTCGTGATAGGGTTAATTTTGATCATTTGGTCCAAATGGTGTTTAGTTTCCCCATTCCACAGCTACTATTTGTCCTCTTATAAGAATAAGCGTTCTGAGAGGAAGACACATTAGAGCATTTATATATCATGTTTCTCATTCCACTTTTTCCCGCCGACTTAGCATGTATCTCAGTAATCTTTGAAAGACCTATGCTCTATGAACATGTTATTCTCACATGTCTGAATTTTAAAAAATATATATTTTTATTGATTTTTGTTTTAGAGAGAGAGGAAGGGAGAGGGAGAGAGAGAAACATTGATGTAAGAGAGAAACATCAGTCGGCTACCTGCCGCACACATCCAGACCAGGGATCAAACTCACAACCTGGGTATGTGTTCTGACCGGCAATTGAACCCACAGCCTTTCAGTGCATGGGACTACGATCAACCAGTTGAGCCATACCCATCTGAATTTGATACATAAGATTCTTAATTCATTTCACAGATTCTGAAATCAGCTTGTTCAAAAGGTAAATTCTGAAGCCATGATTGATGTAGCAAATAAATATATCAAAACAAGCAAAAACTTCATCCAAATTTTGACATTTTAAGAAGACATTTTTGGAATAGGCAGCTTGTTAAGTGTGCTTGAACATAGCCTGTGTGGAATGAATCCCATTCATTATGGAGTTAGTTTCTGCTAAACACTTACTGACACTAGAGAAGACTCGGGCATCTGAGGATTTATGAGTTTTCAGGTGTTTCCAATCTATGCGTAAAAAATGAAACACGACAGACAATTCTGAGGCACTAATTTGAACCTCAAGTAGAAGGGCTAGTATGTAGGGCAAATTACCTAGGAGTCAGAAAGGCTGGCACCTGTGACATAGAGTGGCATGCAATAAAATTCTCAGGAGGTCATTTAAATTTTATAATTATACCTCTCAGTAATATTTTACAGTCACATTTCCCAAGACTTATTTCCATAAACCCTCGGTAAACAGGAAAACTTGGATGATTTTACTGATGCTGCCCCTTTGCCTATATTGCCGTTCAAATCTGTCTCGTTCATACTACAATTCAATCCTATCTCAAAATGCTGTCTATTTCCCTAACATGAACTAGATCTGATGTCTTCTTCTTTGACCTCTGGGAGCACTTTGTACTTCTGGGGAAAAATACCTGCCTTTAAAATGTGAATCAGATCTTGTTCTGGCCTTGTTCGAAAACCTTCTGGTTACTACTTACCACAGGGAGTAAAATCCAGAGGTTCTCACAGTAGCCCAGCTTGATCTGGCTCCAGGATCTTCTTCAGCCATTTCCTACTATGCCCATTGCTCTTTCCATAGTAGCCATAAATCCATCAAGCATGTTCCTACCCCAGTGCCTTTGCACTGGCTGTTCCCTCTGCCTAATTCTTTCCTTTAATTATTCACTTTTGGCTCTTTACATCTGATCAGAGAGGCCTCCCCTTACCTGTTTTATTTTTTCTCATGTCATTTATTACTTTCTGGCATTATAGTATGTATTTTTCGGTTTGTTTCTTGCCTGTTTCCTTTCTGGTAGCTTCTCACCCTGCTTAGAACTTGTGTATGTTCCAGAGGATATGTGCTGTGTTCAAGGACCACAGCTGGTAATGTAGGGGTTGGCGGTTCCCCTGAGGCTGAGCTGGGGAAGTTCCAGTGCTATCCTTTGTAAGACGTGTGTTCTTCTTTTTCAGGCCTTGGGGTTTTTGCTGTGGATTGTCTGCTGGGCAGACCTCTTCTACTCTTTCTGGGAAAGAAGTTGGGGCAAGTTTCCAGCCCCGATATTTCTGGTCAGCCCGACCTTCTTGGGCATCACCATGGTAAGTAGGAGCTGGCTACCTGCCAGGCACTGTGGAACCAAAAGCAGTGGCTGGCATTTAGAGATGAGATCTCACTGTAAAACTCCAGAAATCTTGCTTCTCTAGGAAAACTCAAAGGTCTTGTAACACTGGACTCATAGTCTTCTAGGGCAGCAATCAGCTGGAGCTGAGAGGTGACTGCAGCCTTTAAATGGGGCATGCAGGGTCTAGTTTGTCACAGTCCCCACTGTGCCTTTTGCCCTCCCTGCCCCTGAGGCTGAGTACAGGTGCTATCCTGCATTGCACTTGATATTTTCTGTTCTTGTTCTGACTAGCTTAGTCACTTAGAGTCATTGCCTGGGACCTAATGGCCTCTTGAGTTTTTAAGCTCTGGCCCAAGGAGTGGGATGCAAAACTGAATGAGAAACCACCCTGCCCCATGGGGGTCCCTCATTTAGTGGGAGATCCAGACAGGGGAACTGCTTTATCACTGCTTTTTTATATCTAATTTTCAGAACAACCCTGTGAGATAGGTACCACTTTGTCTCCATTTGAAGGTGAGGAGATTAAGGCACAGAGAGGTTATGTGCCCTGCTAAAGGTCAGTTAATACCTGGTCAAACGAGGGGTGATCGTTCCGAGGCCATGCCTTTAGCTCTTGCATTCCACAGTGACTCGCTCTGAATGAAGGGCCATTCCTACAAGGTATCATGGTCCTTGGGTCGTCTAAGAAGCCTGGAAGGTCCGCGGCAAGCATGGCCCTTGAGTGTTGTAGAATGAGGAGGGAGCAAGTTTGGGGCAGGATATTTTGAGCAGGGAGAACAGCATGTCCAAGGGAGGGTTGGAGGCCAAAAGGGGATACCTTGGGGGGACGATGAGCCTTTCCTGAAGCAAGAAGGCAGAATGGGGGTTCAGGGCATAGATGGTGGATGCGACAGAAGGTGGGTCAAAAAAGGCAAGTTGGAGGCAAATTGTGAAGGGTCATGAATCTTTATAGCACAGGTGACCCGTGTGTGCCCTGTGCCAGGCACTGTCCTAATCCCTTTGCATAGTAATTCATTTAAGTATGTTCACTCATTAGCCCTATTTTGTGGATAAGCAAGTTGAGGCACAGGAAAGAGTTGCAACTGGCCCAAGGTCACAGCCCATAAGCAGCAGAGCCGACTTCACACGCAGGCTCTCTGGCTCCTGTGTCTGTCCCACTGTGTTTGTGGGGCTCTTTGCTAATACCTGGCTCTTGTGCAGGGCTCAGCTGTCCTCTGTGTCCTCAGAACCTGGCACTGCACGTGACATGCAATAAGCACTCCCTAAATGTATTGAGGGAATGGGAGATAAAGGACTTTGCTTTGCTGGCCTGGAGGTCTTAGGCTTACATTTTGGCATGGGAGTGTCAAGGTGGACTAGTTTGGGCTGGAGTAGCTCATATTCCCTTAACTTTCCCCGTTCCCGGCCTTTTAATTCTTCATTCATGCCTTTGTCTGTGGTGCTGGGGACACAGGTGTGATGGGCTGAGGTTCACCAGGCTTTATACCTCCTGGGGCTCTGAGCTGGGCTGGCCAAGAGGTGAGCTGGCCTGTGAGATCCTCAGTCTTTCTCCTCAGGGCTCCATGATAGAGTGAAGGACCAGCCGTGCTGTCCCTGTTGCAGGAACATTCTCCCACACACCTGGGGACCGGAATATGCAGGCACTGGGAATATGGGACATGAGGCAGTCAGCAAATATTTTTTATTCCTAATGTGTGCCAGGAGTTGAAGATAAACCTGACACAGTTCCTATCCTCATAGAGTGTACAGTCCAGCTGAGCAAACAGACATTCAACAGATGATTCCCAAAAAAGGCACAAAATATTTACTTGTGTGCAGATTGCCGTGAGAGTGAGGTTCAGTGAACTTGGTTTGGTCTGGAGGGTAGGGAGGGATGACAGAGCTGAGGCCTGAAGGATCAGCAGGACGTTAAAAAGTTGAAGCGGCTGTGGGCAGAGGACCACCACTGGTGAGAATGGCGCTTGCAGAAGTCCTTGGGTCGGAGGGGGAAATTGAGAGTTGGTCTGTGTGGCTGGGGCGGAGAGGCTGAGGAAGAGGAAGGGAGCTGAGATGGCAGAGGCCTGACCCTGTGGGACCTTGTTTCAGGATAAGTCGGTTTGGTTTTATGTCTCACTCCCAATGCTGGGTTCTAAAACGTTTGTGCCATGGACCCCTTTCTCCTTGGCCAGTCTGCTCTCCCCAGAATAATGTTCTTAAAATACATAGGATTACCAAGGAGACCAATCACAGGTGCGCGTGCACACGCACACACACACACGAAGATTTTGTGATGTACATTTATATTTTTACTTGGGGTTTTGTTGATAAACATATATTGTCTTGCAACTGCCAAGTCCACAATATATAGAGCAGTCCATCACCCCCAAAAGTTCTCTCGTGCTGCTGCTTTGTAGTCAGCCTCTGCCTCAGCCCCTTCCCTGGGAACCACGCCCGTGTTATCTGTCCCTGTCACTTTGCCTTTTCCAGAATGTCACATGAATGGAACCATGCAGGCTGGAGCAGTGTGAGTCTGAATTCATAGCACCTGAGGTTCAACTGTGTGGAGTGTATCCTAAGTTTTTTGGTTTATTTTTTTTAATTGCTGAGTGTATTTGATTATATGGTTTCACCACCCATTTTTTAAAAAAAATATATCTTTATTGATTTCAGAGGGAGGGAGGAAGGGAGGGGGAGAGAGATAGACAGAAACATCAATGATGAGAGAGTCATTGATCAGCTGCCTCCTGCACATCCCCACTGGGGATCGAGCCCACAGCCTGGGCATGTGCCCTGACTGGAAATCGAACCTCGATCTCCTGGATCCTAGGTCGATGCTCAACCGCTGAGCCACGCCTAGCCAGGTACCACCCATTTTTTTAATCCATTCCTTTATTGCAGGGCATTTGGACTGGGAAACCAATTATACTTAAATATAGTTATCAAAAGATTAAAAAGCAAAGTAAAAAATATGTGGTTCTCTATTAATGTCAAACCCAGATCTAGCAGCAGGTGTGATGCTTCTTAACTTCCAAATAGCAAGGACCATACGAGATAATTGGGACATCTTCAGCTATATATTTTCAGATATGATTTCTTTTTTTTCTTTTTTTTAAATATATCTTTATTGATTTCAGAGAGAGGAAAGGAGAGGGAGAGAGAGAGAGAAACATCAATGAGGAGAGAGTCATTGATCGAGCCTGCAACCGGGCATGTGCCCTGACCAGGAATCGAACCCTGATCGCCTGGATCCTAGGTCGACGCTCAACCGCTGAGCCATGCCCGGCTGGGCTCAGATACGATTTCTAATGGTGACAGAGTCCTGGGTACTGCTAATGCCGTTGTGGTTTATTGCCTCCACTTACAACTGGTGATGCCAATGTGGGAAGCCAAAGCTGTAATTGTTTCCCATCCAAGTTCACAGACTCTCAAGTTCTATCCACAGCCTGTCCTTGGAACCCAGGTTAAACCCCCATCCTAAAGACAAAGGTTTGCAGCAAGGATGTGATAAGCCTGGCTTTGCACATTTAAAAGCTGACTATAGCCTCCAATTGGAGAGCCGATTGTTGCGCAGGAGTGGAAGCTGGGTGGTCAGTGGGGGGTGGGCAATGGGGTCACCTGGCAAGGGGGGATGAAGGATGGGATCAGGGTGAGCAGCAGGTAAACTGAGGATTGGCCTTAGTAGCGGAGCCAATGTGTGTTTTTGAGGGATTAGATGTGGGGAGTGAAGGAGATGGGGGAACCGAGGAGGACAGACGGGCAGATGTGTTTCTGGTTCCGGCAGCTGGGTTATGAGGGGAAGGACTTTGGGTGACCTATAGATCATAAGGAGTTGGCTTGTGACCATGACTGGCCTTGGGGATCTGCCTCAAGAGGGTGACTGTGCCATTCTGGGGGAGGGCCATGAGTCCTTTTTGCAAAGAAAAGCAATTTTATTTTTTATTTTCTCTCCCTGATCATTAAGTCACCTGTAAAATGGAAGTAGTAGCCCCAGGTATCAGGAATGAAGTAAAAATCCCCATCCCCCGCCACCATGGTTCTAAAGAAAATCCTGGAATACGAGATGCTCGAATGCAAACTGAGGTTCCTGCTCTCAGTGTAGCAGGAGGCACTGAGTTGGTGCGAATGCTTCAAGGTAGCAGGTGCTCCAGAAAGAACAGTTATCACTGTCGCCCAAAGGAGAATTTGAACACAGGTCTTTCCAGTTCTAAATCAAGGGTGGGCCTGTGGTTTGCTTTTGTAAATAAAGTTTTATTGGCACACAGCCATGCCCATTCATTCTTGTATCATCTAGGGCTGCTTCCATACTGCAATAGCAATGTTGAGTAGTTGTGACAAACTCTATGGCCCATAAAACCTACAGTATTTACTGTCTGGTCTTTTAAGAAAAAGTGTGCCCATTTCTGTTTTGCACTGAACTTTCACCTCCTATCCCAGATCTATGTGTGATCTTAAGCTGTTATCAACTCCATTTTGCAGATGAGGCAGTGGAGGCTCAGAGAGGTTTGGTAACTTGCTCAGGGTCACCCAGCAGGGTGAGAGCTGAGCTGGGACTGGAGCCAAGTCCTCCCCAGGCTATTCTTGTACCACTGGGCTAAGGGCAGCCCTACCCCAGGCCTAATGTCTGCTAGAACCCTCACTGTGGGGGCCTTGAGGACCACGGGGGCTTTGGGCCCTGGCCTTCTCCTGACATCTCTTGTGTGCTTCTCTCTTCTAGCTGCTTGCTACCTTCTTAATTCAGCTCGAGAGAAGGAAGGGAATCCAGTCCTCAGGGATCATGCTCATATTCTGGCTTGTAGCCCTACTGTGTGCCCTTGTCATCTTGAGATCCAAAATCATGACTGCCTTAAAAGAGGTAAGTGGTGGCCTCACTGTGCGTCTTCCTGCGGCAGCCCTTGGGAGAGATGCCTGCTCCTTTTGGGTTGTGTGGAAAGCACGGGTTGCCATGGGAGCAAGGAAATGGGTACCACCTGGGCTCGGCTTTTTCCCAGGGGATTTCCCTACCTCATCCAGCCTTTGTTCTAGAACCTTCTTTCCTCACGGCCTCACTTGTCTGTGTACCTCTGAGGAGCCCATGTGGGTCCTCCAGGGGCAGGAGCTGCGGGCTGATGCACACCACCCTGTGGCCTCTGTCAGCAGTAAACAGATGTCTTCAATTTGGAATGGAGCTGGGTGGGGAGCAGTGTTTGCAGAGTGGCTGCTCCCCCAGGAGGCCCTAGGTTGTCCTCACGTTACCTTAGTGTCATCAGCCTCTAGTTTGGCTGAGAAGTGGTTCACGTTGGCTGCCACATGCCACTGCTAGGATTCTGAGGTGTGTGCTTTGAGACTCATGTTGTTCCCTGCTATTTCCCAGCTAATCAGGAACTGGCGTCAGGCAAAGGAAGGAAAAGAAATGGGACATTTATTGAGCACCTGCTGTGTACAGTACAGTCTTTAATAGTGACAGCAGCTGACAATTATTGAATTCGTGTTTTCAAAGTGCCAGGCGGAGGACCAAGTTCTTTTCATGAATAATCTTACTGACTTCTCACAATTACTTTGCCAGGTTTCTCAGCCTCAGCGCTAATTGACATTTGGGCCAGAGACGTCTTTGTTGTCAGGGGCTGTCCTATACTCTGTCGAATGTTAGGGGCATCCCTGGCTTCCACTCACTGGGTGTCAGTTGCACCCTCCCAAGTTATGGTACAAACAGAAATGTCTCCACACACTGCCAAGTGTTCCCTGGGATGTAAAAATCACCCCTGGTTGAGAACCATGGGTCTGTTTATAGATGGGGACACCGAGGCACAGGGAAGTTTTAAGTAAGCTGACGAAGTTCCACAGCCAGTGCAAGCAGAGGCAGGATCTGCTTCACTCCCAAGGCCAGGCCTCCTCCCACCATCGGGGACGCCCCCCCAGGCGGTGTGGACCACACTGTGATGGAACCGCCTCTCTTGGGTTAACGTGCAAGGGGGGTGGGATGGGGCCGGCAAACTTGCTGGGGGCCTGCATGCTGAGGGCGTGGGTCTTCTGCAGCCTGCTCCCTCAGCCTTTGCAAACTACTTCCAGAAAGTGATTTTTCTCCCTCCTGCTGCCCTCATATTTAGGACGCCGAAGTCGATGTGTTTCGTGATGTCACTTTCTACATTTACTTCTCTCTCGTGCTGATTCAGCTCATCTTGTCCTGTTTCTCAGACCGCTCACCCCTATTCTCTGAAACCATCAATGACCCCGTAAGTACGATCACGAATGTGTTTGAGAAATGAACCTTGTACAGTGCCGGGAAGTTGCGATTGGACACTGTTTCTGAGCCGGTGTCATATATTTGGGGTCTCATTCCACCTTCCCCAAATGCCTGGAGACAGATTATATCGTCCTCCCCACTTGACGTGGCAAAGTTGAGCTGTAGGCATGGCTGGGGTGGGGGAGCCTAAGGAGGGAATCTCCTTAGGTTTCTAGTTGTAAATTGCTGTGTCTTGCAGGCCTGTAGGTTTTCTCATTTGGTTGGCATAGCGATTTTACAACATGTGAGCAAACATTTAAAAATCAGGAAGTTTCAGAAATTCTAAGTGTCCAGATTTTCTAGAAAAAATGAGAAGTTCAGGCAGGGCCAGGGTCATTAGCCCACATGGCAGCAGTTGGCCAGAACTGAGGAGTGTTGCCCTAGTTTACCACAGTCCCTACCACTCCCTATTGCATTGTACAGTGTCACTTTCATCTAGGTACATGCCTGCCCCCTGAGGGATTTGAATTTGAGACCCTGGGTCTGTCTTGTCAGCTTGAGGGAAATCCTTTATGTGCAGAAAGAAATCATTGTGTAGGTGGAGATGGCCACTCTTCCTGCTGGGAGAATAAAAGGGAACATTGTCATTTGTCACCCTTGCCTCTCTTCTTTCTCCCTGCCCTTCCTTCCCTCCTCCTCCCTCTCTCCTCTCTTCCTTCTTCCTCTCTCTCCCTCGTCTCCTTCCCTTTCTTCCTTCCCCCCTTCCAGCCAGTGCTGACTGCCGGGCCTTGATCTGGGCACAGGACTATAGCGTGAATAAAGTAGAGTTCTTGTCCACTTGAGGTTACAAACAGTAACCCAGGACCCATGTATCTGTCAGGTGGTGGTAAATGCTAAGTAGAAGAAAGCAGGAAAGGAAATGAAGATCATGGTTGGGGGTCTGTGCAGTTTTTGGGAAGTGATCATGGAAGGCCTCCCTCAGGAAACTGCATTGGAGCAGAGACCTAAAGAAGCAGGTGGCCAACCTGGCAAATACCCAGAGAAAGAGCTTTCCAGACAGAGTGGTGGCAAGTGCAAAGGCCCTGGGGCAGGAGCTGCTATGGAATGTCGAGGGCACAGCAGGAGAGGCCAGTGTGGCTGGAGCAGCAGAGACAGGAGAGGGCTGAGGGTGGCATCTGAGAGGTAGGGACAATTGTCTGTAGGCCAGATGAGCTGTGTGGATTTTATTCTGAGAGGGACAGGAAGCCTTTGGAGCATTTATTCAATGCTTTGTTCATGGTTGGTTGTTAGCAGATGAAATTGCAGCAGGAGCAGCTTTCAGCTGCTATGTTTCTGTTGGGTGTCACCTGAACCTCAGCAAAGGGCTGAGCTGCCTTTGCCAGTGATGAAGGGACTTATGGGGCAGCAGCAGCATCCTGAGAGGCCCCACTCTTGGATTTCCCTTCTCAAGGAGGAACTGGGTTGGAGAAATGAACAAATTGTGTGTTTATGCAAATATGTTTGTGCGCGCGCGTGTGTGTATGTATATGTGTGTGTATGCATGTTTGCATATGTGTGTATATTTTTGCTTTTATGTTCATGTTTTGTATGTAGATTTGTGTTGGAGTGTTTGTGTATGTATGTGTTAGTGTGTTCTTGTGCATGTGAGTTGGAGTGTGTATAAGGTTCACAGAGGCAGCAACCATGCCTTTAGCACCCATTGGATCCCAGCCCATGCCTGGCACAAAGGCAGGGCTCAGATGTCCATGGCTGTTGTGTCTGCTGGTCCTCAGTGTTTGTGTGTGTATGTGTGGCAGTGGAGTATCCCAATCAGGAAAAATTGTTAATTGTCGGGGTTTTCTGTGGAGCTGTGAATTGCACTGGACAAGCCACACACCCCTGAGTGGCTATAGACTTTGGGTTCCCCTGAGGGTGACCGAGCCCAGGTGGGGCTGAAGCGTTGGCATGGGCATCACCTAACCTTTCAGGGTGCCTCTGGGGCCTGAGAAGCAGCCCTCTCACAGTGGACCATCTGAGGTGCTTTATGCAGGAGGGAATTTCAGGTTTTTGGTCACCTTTGGGGATTTGGATCAAGTTCCTTTCACTTTCTTCCTGACATATGTGCAGGAAGGTGGCTCATAGAGCTGACTTCCTCCCATTATTTTTTCTGTGTTCCCAGCAGCCTGGGCCTGGGACCTAACCTGCTGCCCTGGGTTGGCCTATTGTGCTCAGCTGTAGCAGCTGGAGGCTATATCATGGGGGGCCAGGACACCCCGACTTTTCTCCCTAGTCATTGTCTTTCTGGTTTAGGAAGTGAAGCTCAGAGAAGTAGGCCATTAGACCTTAACTGATACCCTAAATCTAACAGTGGAAGCAGCATGTATGATGGGAGAGAAGCTTCATTTTGGAGTTGGGCAGACCCTGGGTTTAAATCCCACCCGGGTCCCTTTATCCCGTCAACAGACATTTATTAAGCACCTGTTGTATATGGTGCTTAGTTCTGGGGCCACAACAGTGTGTGAAATAGATACAGTTTGTGCCCTGCTACAGTTATCTGTTGCAGTTAACAACAATAGTTTATTATGTCTTGTAGTCATGGGTGTTAACTGGGCTCAGCTTGGTGGATCTCACTTGGGGACTGTCCTACGGTTGCAGGGGCTTGAGTTTGGCTTCCTCCTCACATGTCTGGTGGTAAACTCGGCCCCATGGCTGGAGCCTCGGCTGGGTGTGACCGCTCCATGTTGTCTCCCCAAGTGGCCTGGACTTTCTCACAGCATGGTAGCTGTGAGTATTGCAAGAGAGGGAGCCAGGTAGAAGCTGTGTCACCTTATATGACCCAGTCCCAGAGTCACACAGTGTCACTACTGCTCTGCTGTCTAGATTGAGGCAATCACAGAAGTCTGCCTGTGAGCAAGGTGGGGGGACACAGACCCATCTCTAGATGGGGAAGTGGCCAGATCTCATTGTGGGACCAGCACGTGGAATGGCAGGTAATGTCTGTCCATCTTTGGAAAATGCTGTCTGCTGCGTGTCCTCAGGAAGCTTCTGGTCTTGCTGGGAGATAGCTGATAAGCAGGTCAGCAGACAAATAACGATGGAACCACAATTGAGTTGAAGGCAGGGAAACAGGTCACATGACTTTTAGATTTGGGACTTTGGGTCAATTGCCCCTCCTTTCAGGACCTCAGTGGCCTCGTCTTGAAAAAGGGTTGGGGCTCCACTTGATGCTGACCTCACCTTCCTCCCTGCCCCAGGTCTGAGAAGGGGGGACACTCTTAGGTACCTTTTATGCCTATCTCCCTGACACCCTCAGAGCTGGTATTACAGCAGAGCCTAAAAAATGGGAGAGTCCAACCCTTTCCTCTCTCCTGTCCTCATGGCAGCAGTCACTGTCGCCTGTCCTTAGAGAAAGCGGTCAGCCAAGCCTGGAGCTGACCGGGGTCAGGCAGGGTCTGGGTAAGAACTGGCAGCACTTGGCTTCCCCAGGCTCTCTTCTGCTGAGTCACCCAGCCTGCCTGCCCCTTGCATGACTCAGATGTCTATTCTGGCCCTGGTCTCTTGGCAGGGCTGCTTCTGTCTTCCAGGCAGCTGAGCGTGGCTGACCAGGCTCCTGCCTGTCCCTGGCCTCTGCTCCTTTTATCTTGCTGGCCCTGAAGCTACTGCTTAGGGTTGAGGGAGGCGGTTTCCATTTGCAGAAGGGGACATCATGGTCATATGTGGTCACGAGGTAGACCCTCACTTCTCAAAGTGGGGTCCTCGGACCAGCAGCATTGGTGTCCTCAGGTGCTCACTGGAAATGCAGTGTCTCAGGCCTCCTGAGTCCTGCTGGCTAAGTCTCATTTAATAAGATCCCAGGGGCACAGTTGGATGCACTGGTGCACCCTAACTAAGAACCTCTCAGCTCATTTGGAGGAAGAGATATATTTAGCCCGGTGCATAAACTTGAAACATTCCTTCCCCAACGAATTCTACTATGAACATTTCATACCTACAGAGAAGTTAAAAGGCTGGCACAGGGACAACTCATCTACCCACCAACTAGATTCCATAATTAACTTTTTGCTAACCTTGTTTTATCACGTAGTTAGCCAGCCAGGCAGCCAACCCATTAATTTTTTTGATATCTGAAACTTCCTTTGAAATACATTAGGGTCCTTCACCCAAACACTTCACTGCTCAAATCATTAGCTAGAGTTCAGTATCTGTTTATAGTTTTGTTTCCTTAAAATAAAATTTACATACAGTGACATTGCTGAATCTTATTACCATTCAATGAGTTTTTGATAAATGAATAATCTGAGCCTCTCTCAAGATAGAGAACATTACCAGGACCCCAGAAAGTTCCCTCCTTCCCCTCCATGGTTAGTCTCTACTCCTCACATCCTAGAGGCAACTGCTGAGCTTGGACTGTTTAGGAAAGCATCATAAACACCACTTGTAATTCCTTTCTCCTTTATACTCTGGTCATTCAGTAATTCAGCATTGTGCCAGGGGCTAAGCTGGGTTCTGAGTACCTAGAAATGAACAGACGTGGACTGCTGCTCTTGAGGAGAGGTGGGGGAGGGGCAGCAGGCCAATAAATCAGCAGCTACAGGATGGACAGTGGGGCTCTGAGGCAGGGAAGTGCTGGGGCTCCAGGGCCAACATTCAGGGGAGTGAATGCCTGAGTCAGAGAAAGGAGAGGCCTTGCCAATGACATTGAGAGCTGGAGGGTGGACAGGAAAGTGGTCCACAGGAAAGTGGAGGAACCAGCACATGCAAAGGTCCAGTGATGTGTTTGGAAATTGCATGAATTCTATTTGGCTGGGTAGGACAGGCCAGGGAGCTAAGCATTAAAGATCATTGGTAGAATAGTATGTCACTATAAGGCCTTAGAATTTTTACCTGATGCAAGGTTTTTCAGTGGGGGAGTGACACACCCTGGGTGGGAACGTTCAGAGGATCCTTCCAGCAGAAGACTGGAAGAGATCTCATGGCACATGGAGAGGCTGGTGGCACCTAGGAAGCTACTGTAGGAGCCCAGGCAGGTAG